TGAGATGAGAAGTATCTTTGAATCCTTGAGTTAAGTAGTTCATGCTTATAATTCTGCATGAACCCTCTGAGTTGAGCATTCTTTAAATGAGTAGTATCATTGAAGTTCTTGAGTTCCAAGTATTTGAGTTCTATCTATGGTTATTGAAAACCTTGCATTGAGTAGTTCATGTCCATAATTCGGTATGAACCATGTTTTAAGAAGTCTTTTACAAACGTTTTAACTTTGTTTTAAGACTTAAGTTTTGAGTTCAGTAAAGAGTAAAGAGTAAAGTTTGAAGTCTTTTTCTTCAAAACTATATGGGGACTAAGTATTCCCAAAGAGTTTATAAATGTTTTCACATTTAAATAAGAACGGAAACTGAGATTTCCAAAGAGCTTTCGGGCTAGTTTTCAGAAAAGAGTAATCGCTTTCTAAATGAAGCAAGAGAGGAAACTGAATTTCCAAGATAGCCTTTGAGCAATTATCTCAAATCAGCAGAAAGAAGTATGTTTTTAAAACATAAGAGCTAGTATATTTTTGGGAGTAGTATTGAGCACCGATATGGGGGAGAGTTCATACAACTCACAGCCCCTATAAACCATGTAGCCATCATGGGTAGAAAAGGGTCATACTTTTTAGATGAACCCTTTTCACATAGACTAGTGGATCCATTAGTAGTTCAGGTCCTATACCTTTGGCCAGGTATAGGATGCGCTGGCAGCGTGAGGTAGATCGTTGTATCATCACTATAACTCTTATGTGATGGTTGTCGGTTAGAGAAACTCCCACAGAAGTTATTGTATTTTTATATACATCAGTTTATTGTATTTTTATATACATTTCAGAGTTATGTTGTATCCTTGCATACACACAGATTTGACAGCATGTTTTTAAACAATTTGTTTCTTTATATGGCACTTGTTTTAAATTGCTTTATATTGAAATGAGTTCAGTCATATTTAGTTGAGTATTCAGAGTTGAGTATCCAGAGTTGAATATCATATCTTTGAGTCGATTATCATATCCTTGAGTTGAGTATCTTATCCTTGAGTACTTCTGAGTTGAGTAAGTTTGAGTAGTTTTGAGTACCCCTGAGTATTCCTTGAGTTGAGTAAGTTTGAGAAGAGGTAAGTATGTTCCATTTCTATCAAGTTTCAATCTTATGTTTATGTTTTAGAATTCCTCTTACATGCTAGTACATTCCACGTACTGAGCCATTTGGCCTGCATCTTCTCATGATGTAGACACAGGTATTCAGGATCATCAATAGGAGCTTCGTTGATACATCCGAGAGTCCGAGTTAGCTATGGTGAGCCTCCTTGCTTTCAGAGGATTTCATTTACCTTTCAGTTATATCAGTTGTTAAGATGTCGTGGGTCTTGTCCCGACTTCCATCTTTATCAGTTAGAGGCTTCATAGATAGTCAGTATAGTTGAGAAGTCTGTATAATTTATTTTATTAAATTTTTTAAAGACTAAAGTTGTCTTTTTATGGCGAGTTGTATATATTTTATTATACAGAGTTTTCTTTGGACTTAAAGTTTGTATTTAAGTTTTATGAACTTTTATTTCAGTTTTTAAGCTTTGTATGCTTGAATCAGTTTTCCGCTTGTAGTCAGCCAGGATGAGGGTTCGCTTGGGGACCAGCAATGGTCTTCGAGTGCCGACAACGTCCAGGGTGGATTGCCAAACTAAGAGAGTGCACTTTCACTTTCCAAACGAGGCAGTCCTTGAATGGGAAGGCAATGTTGAAGCGCCAAGGGGTAAGTTTATTTCTTATTTGAAGGCGAGGAAGAAGGGTATGTATGTCATCTAGTTAGAGTGAGAGATGTGGAGGCAGAACCACCGACTCTTCAATCTGTTCCGGTATTAAATAAATTTATTGATGTGTTTCCTGAAGAGCTTCCAGGTTTACCCCCAGAACGAAAAGTAGAGTTTGGTATCGATTTAATTCCAAGCACTCAACCTATCTCTATTCCTCCGTATAGAATGGCCCCGGCAGAATTACGTGAATTAAAGGAACAATTAAAGGACTTGTTAGAAAAGGGGTTTATAAGGCCTAGTGTGTCCCCATGGGGTGCACCAGTGTTATTTGTACGTAAGAAGGACGGTACGTTGAGAATGTGTATCGACTACCGACAATTGAATAGAGTGACAATTCAGAATAAATACCCCCTCCCCAGAATTGATGATTTGTTTAATCAGTTACAAAGTGCCAAGTGCTTTTCAAAAATTGACTTGAGAACAGGTTATCACCATGTGAGGGTGAAGGAGAAGGATATACCCAAGACAGCTTTTCGAACACGGTATGGTCATTTCGAATTTCTCGTTATGTCATTTGGGCTAACAAATGCACCGGTAATTTTTATGGATTTGATGAATAGGGTGTTCAAGCCATTCTTGGATGTATTTGTGATAGTATTTATAGATGATATCTTGGTGTATTCAAGATCAGAAGAGGACCATGCAAATCACTTACAACATGTATTACAAGTTTTTCATGATCGGCGATTGTATGCCAAGTTCTCCAAATGTAAATTTTGGTTAAAATAAGTGGCGTTCTTGGGTCATATTGTATCTGATGAAGGAATAAGGGTTGATTCACAAAAGATAGAGGCCGTGAAAGATTGGCCAAGACCAACAACACCCACAGAGGTTCGTAAATTCCTAGGGTTGGCAGGTTATTATAGAAGGTTCGTTAAAGGATTTTCTTCTATTTCTGCACCTTTAACTAAGCTAACACACAAGGCAACTAAGTTTCAGTGGAATGATGCATATGAAAGAAGCTTACAAGAGTTGAAAAGTAGGCTAACTTCCGCACCTGTATTAGTACTTCCGGAAGGCACAGAGGGGTATACCATATATTGTGTTGCTTCAGGGGTTGGTTTAGGATGTGTACTCATGCAGCATGGTAAAGTAATAGCTTATGCCTCAAGACAACTGCGGCCACATGAGAGAAACTACCCAACACATGATCTTGAACTAGCAGCGGTTGTATTTGCTTTAAAGATATGGCGTCACTATTTATATGGGGTTCACATTGACATATATACAGACCATAAAAGTTTTCAATACATCTTCAAGCAGAAGATCTGAATTTAAGGCAACGAAGATGGTTAGAGTTAATAAAAGATTATGACGTTGATATACTATACCATCCAGGGAAAGCAAACGTAGTAGCCGATGCTCTCAATCGCAAGACAATATCAAGTATTAATGAGCAGACTGTGGAAAAAGAAGGGATGGCGAAGGATCTAAGTAAACTAGCTAGTTTGGGAGTTCGTCTTCTTGAAACCCCAAAAGAAGGAATTGTAGTGCATAATGCGGCAGAATCTTCATTAGTAGTTGAGGTGAAAGAGAAGCAGTTCAAAGATCTTACTCTACAACGACTCAAGGAGAAGGTAAATCAAGGTACGACAAAGGGATTTGAGCTTACACAAGATGGAGTACTTTGTTGTCAAAACAGATTGTGTGTACCTAATGTTAATGGGTTAAGAAGGAGGATAATGACAGAAGCACATCATTCAAGATATTCCATCCATCCAGGATCAAGTAAAATGTACCATGACTAGAAATGAGTGTATTGATGGAGGGACATGAAGAAGGACATTGCAAAATTTGTGGCTCAATGTCCAAACTACCAGCGAGTTAAAGTAGAGCACCAAAAGCCGAGAGGTTAGATGCAGTGTATGGAGCTTCCAACTTGGAAGTGGGACATGATCAACATGGATTTTGTAACTGGTTTGCCTCGCTCGTTTCGTAAGTTTGACTCCATATGGGTAATAGTTGATAGACTCACAAAGTCAACACATTTCTTGTCAATTAAGACTGATTATATAACTGAAGAGTATGCAAAATTATATATTAAAGAGATAGTTCAGCTACACGGGGTTCCAATCTCTATTATATTTGATCGAGGAGCTCAATTCACTGCAAAGTTTTGGAAATCATTCCAAAAGAGTTTGGGAACACAAGTGAATTTAAGTACAACCTTCCACTCTCAAATGGATGGTCAAGCAGAACGCACAATCCAAACACTTGAGGATATGCTTCGAGCTTGTGTCTTAGACTTCAAAGGTAGCTGGGATGATCATTTGCCACTTATTGAGTTTGCCTACAATAATAGTTATCATTCTAGTATCAAAATGGCACCTTATGAAGCTTTACATGGAAGGAAGTGCAAATCACCAATTGGCTAGTTTGAAGTAGGCGCGAAACTGCTTTATTTGGACCAGACCTTGTTCTTCAAGCTATGGAAAAAGTTAAGGTGATACAACAACGGCTAACAACAGCTGAAAGCCGACACAAATCATATGCAGATGTTAGAAGAAGAGGATTAGAGTTTTCTATAGGAGATTGGGTGTTCTTAAAAGTATCGCCAATGAAATGGGTCATGAGATTTGGTAAAAAGTGAAAGTTGAGTCCACGCTACATAGGGCCATATAAGATTATTCGAAGAGTTGGCCAAGTTGCATATGAGTTAGAGCTACCTCAGGAGCTTTCAACAGTTCATTCGGTGTTTCATATCTCAATGCTTCAGAAGTGCGTAGGTGACCCATCCTATATTACTCCTATTGAAGATGTACAAGTTACAGAGGATCTCACTTATGAAGAAGTACCTATTTCTATTCTGGATCGTCAGGTTAAAAAGCTAAGGAATAAAGAAATGGCTTCAGTAAAGGTGCTTTGGAGAAACGAACAAGTAGAAGAAGTAACGTGGCAAGCTGATGAAGCGATGAAATTCAAGTACCCTTATTTATTTGAACCTAAAGGTGAAGTCCAAGGTGTAGAATGGGGGCATTAATAGGTACGCATGAAAGGGTATTTATTATGTGGTTAACAATTGATTTAAACTAAGGTTTGAACTTATTTAAGCTACCTGATAATGCTAGCATTCGAGGGCGAATGTTCCTAAGGGGGGGGGGGAGGATGTAACACCCCATATTTTACGTGTACAAGTTCTACACATATGGAACTTGATTTAGCTTGGTGGTATAAGTAATGAACTTGATTTCCTAGATGAATGGTGACAATAAAGAAGCTATAAGGGTAACTCCCGTACATTGCGATATTGCACAATCGAGTGAACGTTAAATTTTAGAAGTATTTAAATTCTGGATCGAAGGGCTCTATGTAAGTCTAAAAGTTAAGGTGATCAAGTGTATATAAGTTTTGAGTTAAACTAAGGAGATTACTCTCGGAAAACAAATAAAAGAATTGAGGTGCTTGTTGGACTTTATAAAGCTAGCAGATGTCACCTACAAGCTTAGCTCAAATGGGCTAGGTAGATGGGGAAGATTAGTTCATGCATTAGTGGGCTCACTTGAGGCCCAAATTAAATAAAAAGGAAAAGGGAATGGAGATGAGGCCTCACACCAATCTGTCCAAGTCCAACTACTTGAGCCCAATAAAGATTAAGGCCCAAATTAAGGGTATAATTCTGGCCCATGGCTTAATATTAGAAAGGGGAAAGATTGCAGCCTAAGATGAGTACATAAAGGGCCCATTTTGTGTATATATAATTCCAAGCAGATGTATCACCTACTTGGACCACTTTGAAAAATTAGTGGCTGACCTTTATAATCCCAAAGTTGCTGGCGATTTCCTCACTTTTAAGAATAGATAAAAAAATCAGATTTCTCTTTAAGCTTCTCCTCTCTCTTTCAAAGCATAGCAACATCCACAAGTTTCCTAGGGTTCTTGGATAAACCCAAGCCCTTGCAAGGGAAGCTCAAGTTATTGAAGAGTTAAAGTTAAAAGAAAACGAGTTATAAGAATTAAGGTAAAGTGACTACCCTATCTTTGTCTTCCTTAAACACGAGTCTAAGTATGATATTTTAAGTATACTTGTTGATAAGAACTTGTGGGATGATGATGGAAAACAATGGTTTCACGTCCTCCATTGTATGTTGTGTTGTTAGGATTGTTTTGGGACAAGTTGATATGTAAACATATTGGGGACAACTTGGTTGATGTCTGGAAAGGCTGTAAATTGTTGATATTGAAATATAGTTGTGTAGTGTACAAATGCAATAAAAGAAGGCGGGAATTGAAAGAACACCCTTAGTTTGGTAATTACGGGTTTGCTGCCCGAGCATTATTGTTGAGTGAGATTGGACTGCCTAAGCATGTTTAGTAACTACTAATACTAGTTTATCACCTACTCTATTGTAGATAAGTATTTGAAAAGAAAGGAAGGTACTTCAAGGTAACTACAAGGTGGTACAGCAAGGTATGTAAGGCTTTCCGATTTCCTACTAATTGACATGAAATCTAGACTCGTCCTCAACACATAGAGGCAGCCTACTAGCTCCAACACGACTTATGACCTTGTTCTCACTCTTTAACATGTTTGCACGTTCCGATACATGTTCATTGTCAAATCTGTACATATACATTGAATACCCTGCATGAGTTCTCCTTTTAACTAAATAAGGTCTATATATTATTTCAGCTCCTATGCATTTCATTAAATTGTGTAACTACTCTCTACGTTGTTGTTTCTGCATTATATGATTATTACACGTCACTTGTTGACTACATAGTCTCACAACTCAAAAGAATCATCTCAAATGTTAATGGAAAGATATATTAAATGAATCTGCTTATTGATGGGTGGAAGAATCACCTAGCATGGGTCGATCCCAATATTACGGGTGGTATCCCAGGGGTTAAAGGAAAGCCTAGCATGGGTCGATCCAATTTATATGTCTATCACTGATCAGCTGGTCATTTGCATTATATGTTGTGCACAAAGTATAAGGTAAAGAATGATAAAGTAAAGAAAAGAAGGTAAAGTACCTGATTCCATAATATGAGAAAAGGTTGTCTTGTATTCTTACATTGGTATATGGTTTCATTTGAGTTCTTATTTCACATACAGTAATTTATGCCTTACATACTCAGTACATTCTCCCGTACTGACATCTCTCTCGGGGGACCTGTAATTCGTGCTGCAGGTACAAGAGCTAGTAGATCTCCTCAGTAGGAGAACATGGCATCTAGTGGCTATTGGTGAGCTCCAGGTTGATTCGGGGCTTTCCGAGTTTATAGCATGTATTTTGGTATTGTATAGTAGCTGAGTGTAAGGTGGGGCTTGTCCCGACCTTAACCCCATAATGTTTTATCATTTAGAGGCTTTGTAGACTATGTATAGTAAAGTGTGGTTGTGCCTCGTGTCTTAGACATCATGGTCCCAACGGTCAAGTCATGTGAACTTTCTTTTGGCTTGTTAATACTGTCTACTTTCATGAGAACATGTTATCCATTATGGCAGCACCTTTAAATGTTCATAGATAGAGCATGATTACAGGTTGGTTCTCCCGAGCCTTCTCGGCAACGGGTGCCGGTTCGCCTTAATGGGATTTTGGGCATGACAATAATCATTGTTGAGATTTGGAACTATGGACCAGTAGTAGAAGACATATGAATATGGACTTACGATAATAACAATGACATGGGAAGCAAATGTGACATGCACATGTAATACATAGGAGCATATGACTCAGTTAAGCATTTTGACATCTCAAATTGAAGCACATATCAAGTGAAGACATTTAACATTCAGCCAAGAGATTTGAACTCTATATGGTAGCCGGATACTCACTAACTAATATCAAATACAATGTATACATGAAAGTGGAACCAAGGGAGAACGTGGGCAGAATCAACTTAAGGACGGATACATAATCCAAGTAAGTACATATAAAATGTACAACAGAGCAAGTAGGGATCTTGTGAGGTACATTATAGTCTAACACAATGGGAGTAATAACCAATAAAGGGAACATATGAACATGTGACAAGATGACATATATATAGATAATTGAAGCTAGTTGGCATGATACGGGTAGATTGTATATCCAACATACAAACATATGAACCATGTGTAATCTAGGATCATTTTGATTTATATAAGGGAAATACGTGCCAAGGGTACTTTGACGGTGAAACAAGTTTAAACCTTGCATGCTAATACTTGGTAGAGTAAGCACGTACATTTAGTAACAAACTCATATTAGAGTACTCACTTTAATGCTCTAGGGAGTAGGAACTGCACCTAAGGATCAGTCACTACCAGGGGCACTTAGAATGTTTACTTTTTGTAATGCAAGTGTTGGATTCATGCCAAAGAAATAGGAAATCGAATTGCCTTACATACCTTGCTATACAATTCAAAAAGTATGACTTAAGATCCTTCTCTTCAGATTACTAATCTACAATAAAATTAGTTGTAAGACTAGTATTAGTAGCTAATCAATCAATTTGAGCTACTTGATCTCACAAAAATAATAACCACGCAGTAAGCATGCAATTTATCTAGTCAATGTTTTATTTCCTTCCCTTTTCCCTTAAATCACGTCTATATACTGTACAACCTTCATATCAGGTCCTCCCCAAACATCCTTGCAATATTTAAGTCCTTTAACGTATCCATAACTTACCCGCACATCCAGTCACATCCCTTATCATAACATACATAAAATAATCCTTAAACATAATAATGTAACAGAAGAAATATGAATCATTGTTTCTGATCACCAGCACTTGAAGAGTTAACATTACTTTTAAGGTGCTCAAACAAGCTCATGACTGAAGTTAAAGATGACTCCCCTCCATGGCTGTCCCAACATGCACTAATCACCAGAACATCCTCCCCAATATTACACCATGTAAAAGTAACAATTTCCAACTCACTAGCACGTACCAAGTGTCCTAATTAAATCAAGCACAAGAGGGAGAAAATTGCAGTAGCTTACCTTGCTGGACAGAACTATTACTTGCTAAGACTTGGATTCTTCAAGGTAAAGGTTGTCCTCTTTAACTCGTCTTAAATTATATCTTCCTATTGCTTGAAATCCGTAATATTCAAGAACCCTAATGGTATTTAATGGCTGTTGTATGAAGCTAAGAGAGAGAAGAGAGAAAGATCTAGAAATCAGATTTTTGGCAGAGTAAAAATGGTTGGAAAAAGCTGATATCAATCCCTTTTAAAGGGACCTGCTTTGGCTGACTTTCTAACTCATTTTGGGCCATAATTTTTCAAGTAGGTGACCTACCGACTTGGACTTTTCACTTGGGCCTTTTTGGACTTAAGAACATTGGGCCTTTTGCCACCTTTCTTGTACTTCTTTTGCAGCCAAACATGTGTCTTTAATTTAGGCCACACATTTAAGTAGGTGATGCACCTACTTTTCCATTCAAATTATTTCTTGTGGGCTTGGAAAGATTTGGCCTTGGCTGTCCATTTTCTCCTTATTCTTCTATTCAACTTGGGCCGGATTAATGCAAGTCGGTGTACTATACTTGGCCCAATAACATGGTCAAAAGAGTCCTAGTAGGTGATGCACCTACTTGGTCCTTTGGGCTGGTCAATAAGTCAAAGTAAGTGATGTACCTACTTGTCATCTACTAGCTTAGTGAAGTCAAGCAAGCACCTTAATATTTTATTCTATTTCTAGACCTTAATACCTTTAACTTAACTTTAAGCTTATATACACTATGTCACTTTAAACTTTAGACTCAAATACCAACTTATGATCTCAAGTTTAAATACTTCCATCGACTTCAACTTAATCGGGTCACATTAAAATCTACGGATAGTTCACTTTAAATCTATTCTATTGTCACTAGTTGCATAGGAAACCGAGTCCACAACTATACCACAAGGAAGTTTTTTAAGCGTAATAAATAGAACTAGTACACCTAGAATACGGGGTGTTACATCCTCCCCCTCTTATGATCATTTGTCCTCGAATGATGAGTGAAGCTGATAGTTTAGTTAACCTTGGAATTTCATTTGGAGATTTGCGAGAGTTCCCATTATAAATAGGACTATCCAAAATCCATAGACTAACCTAAAACACGTATTGACAAGTCTAGCATGAAGTCTCAATAGATATGGTTCATAAAATATTAATATGACAAATTAAACCCCTTTCTTGACCATGTAATTCATTGAATATACACAAGTAGAACTCATACAAATAAGGACTTTAATATACCTAAACACAAGACATGCAAATGACATATCAAATGAACAAATGCTAGTAGGATTCATGATCATATAAGGGGACCACATGATCTCAGATCCTTATGTTGATGTTTAGAATGAGGAGGGGTACTTAGGATCTCTACCATATTCCCAAGTATCTTATGTTATATTCTATTCCTTCCACAATACTTCAATGGAGGTATGTATCTCCCAATTTTTTCGTATATGGAACAAACACAAAATCAAAGGCCTAACCTATCGGGGCTCTACTTTCCCTTCTCTTTTATCTCATGACGCTTTTAAAAGGTGAGACTTATAAGAACGCATAGCTGTTAATATAAAATCTAAAGTTTTAAGCCGCACCTTTGAATAAGGCATTATACTAAGTTATTTATCTATGGTTGTGATAAAATTTACATATATGCCCAACCTTTTCTGGTCAAAATCTTCACTATATAATGATACAAGTAAATGTTTTCCTAAAATGTTCAAAACTCAAGTCAATATTCACAGAGGGGCATAGTGTACAAATAAATAAGTCACATTGGGTATGACACATAGGTAGATTAGCACAAAAGGGAGCGCATAATATACGGGCATTAAGCTATAGAAATATATGGTGTACGCACGCAGATGGTTCATAGGGTAGCGTGTGAGCGAATGAACTATAAGGAATGTAGGAAATGGACTAGATGAGCACATGATACATGAATACTACAAAATATATAATACGTAAGAAAGTAGACTATATGAAATATGAACTACGGAACACAAATCACATTGATCAAGTGCGTTATATTGCATGGATTGGTGACCTAACATGTCAATAATATATACAGTTATGAAATATGAGCAAGTGAACACATGACACATGGCTAGAAAAGCTATAAGGCATGTAATGTTTAAGCAAGTAGGCTACGAGGCATGTAATATACATAGAAATGGTTTATGATGCATATGCCATGTAAACAAGTGATATGCGAGTCATATAACCCACGAGCACTATTGTTTCCCATAACATATTATCAATTAGCATGCAGTACCCACACAATATGGACAAGTGACATGTGAAAAGTAACCATTGCAATAAAGAACATGTAAGAAAAAGGTCCTACAAAAACATATAATAATAAACAAGGGTACTCTGAAGCGGATAACACTTACATGTAAGCATTCTATGACATTAGAAAACATGTGAGAAAGTGATCCACAAAGGGCAAATGACATACAAATAGATAAGTTATGGAACATGCAACATGTATAATTATATAACAAACCATCTTTGGAAACTACGAGATATCCTATAGAACCACTCTACCATATTAAGGGCAAACACACTGTCTTAAGCATTAAGTAACAGGTGGGATAGCTCTACTCATATTCCTTACTCACTTAAACACATACAATTGATTTCCCCATCTACTCTCTTCAATCTCCTAAGAATTCTTATAGGTGTTCTGCTATTGGGACTTGGCTTCCGTCTAGGTCAATCTAAACACTACAGTCAAGATAGAAAAAGAAAATCCTCAATAGTTCATCTTTTATAGTAGGAGGTCGAGGTCAACTTTGCCTTTATTACTAGCTTGTGTTATATCACGCTCAACGCCTGGTGCCGTTTGAAGGTCGAAATAGAAAATAAATAGTGAAGCTTGAACGCACCATAAAACATGAAATCTAATAACAAGTGAGGGTGCTCCGACTCCTTTCCCATGCAAGATAGCAAATAATAACAACTAGGATATGCTCAATTTTTCCTCTCCCTTAACTGGACTATGACTGATGAATTATTGCAGGCATATATTAAATGACCCTATAGTAGCTCTATTCAAATTGATGGAAGTCAATACATGTGAATAATGCTCTACGTACATATTCGGCATGTGTCATTCAAGCTTCATTCTCACATGCTTCCTATCTAACAAGTACCTTTTAATCAAAACTAGTAGTAGCTTCATGTACTCTAATCCCACTATGTACAACCTAACTAATCACAATTTAGGTCTAACCAATCAATTTTTCTTTTGTTAACCTTAACCCTTTGGTCACATACTAATCCTCTACAACCAAAATATAGATTGTAGTAGGAACTACCATAAATATATCATTTGTAGTAATTAGCACACTTATCTCTAAGTTTCATAATCATGAAAAGAATATAAAGGTTATTAGTACTTATTCGGGGTGGTTGGAACATACCATATAAAACCAACTATTAACATAATCGGGATGATATATGGTGAGAATTTAGTCCTTGTCAGCCAATTAGGGATATCTCTAGTAACACTATTGCACTGATAGATTTAGCTATCAGATTGTGCCACTGCCTTCTTCCAACTAAAAGAAATTGGTTCAACAACATCAATTTAGAGTACATGTGTAATACCAAAAATTCTATGTATAACACAGACTGAGAACGAGTGTCCTCTATAGGAATAGATCCTATAAATATGGAGGAAATATAGAACTCCAGAGTTGGATACATCCTTCTAAGAAGATATGCTTAGAAATGCTACAGGCTCATATACGTAACTAGGTGACCCATATTTTTTAAGTATATGGATAACCATACTATATCTTTCTCAATTGAACCAATGTGATACAAATGGCAAAAATGCAACTTAAAATGCATATAACATAAAAGCCTTTACATACCTTGTGGAGTGGGATGGTCGAATAAAATGAGCTTAATGTAGTCTAAATATTGATAACTTCAGATCCTTTTCTGTAGGTTGCATGTTGAAATTTTAGCTACCATTAATCTTAACCATCGTAAACATAATATGAATAACATGATCAGGTACAAGTGGAAATTGACTTCTTAACTTTGCTCTAATGCACGATCTGGATTATGAAGGATAATAACATTTCCTAAATGTCCAAGAAGCCCCCTAATTATAAATGTGGCATGCAACACATTCATAAGTAAGGTTCTACTAGACACGATTTTGTAGACTCTCTAGGAAGAACTGCTCTGATACCACTTTTGTCACACCCCAACCCTAGGTAAGGCGGACAAGTACCATATGAACACATGATTTACAAGTGACCTGTGATTAGAAAGTAAACTACTATGCAGATAGATTTACTGATGAGAAGCTTCATATACAATACATATTGACTAGCTGAATCGATACATGTGACAAGTGAAACTATGAATACAAATAATAGCTTTACAATGTCTACAAAGCCTCTACTAGAATCCATGACTGTACCACTATGAAATAAGCATAGTACAGACTCGGTAAAGCCCCGAATCAACCTGGAGCTCACCAACAACCGCTGAGTATCATGTGCTTCTATTGGGGAGATCTACTAGTTGAGTACCTGTACGTGGCAGCATGAAATGCAGCATCCCCAATAAGGGACGTCAGTATGAAAGAATGTACTGAATATGTAAGGCATAATACAACCATATGTAAAATGAGAGCTCAAGTGAAACCAAATAGCAATAAATAAGGATTAGAGACCACCTTTGCTTATACTTGTGGAATCATGTATGTTACATTCTTTTCTTTACTTTTCTTTGCATTATAATATTTATAAGACATATGATACAAATGACCAGCTGATCAACGGTAGAAGAGGATGACCCATGCTAGGCATTTTAACCCTGAGATGCTGTCTTCATAATTCCACAAATTGGGATCGGCCCATGTTAGGCTTTCGCCCCTGAGCTGCCACCCTCTTATACCAATTGGGATCGGCCCATGCTAGGCTTTCGCCCTTGAGTTTCCACCTTCTATACCAATTCTAATCGACCCATGCTAGGCATTTGCCCTAGGGCTGCCACCCATAATTATACAGATAGCTTCACTTAAATTCTTTATCTTTGAGATTGTTGTTTTGATGTTCATAACTCTTTCGAGATTGTTTTTTTTTTGGATAATTATAACTCTTTAGAGATTGTTCTTTTGATGATCATTATATTTTTTTAGATTGCTATTTTGGTGGTCGTAATCATTGTTAAGATTTGGAACTATGGACCAGTAGTAGAAGACATATGAATATGGACTTACGATAACAATGACATGGGAAGCAAATGTGACATGCACATGTAATACTTAGGAGAATATGACTCAGTTAAGCATTTCGACATCTCAAATTGAAGCACATATCAAGTGAAGACATTTAACATTCATCCAAGAGATTTGAACTCTATATTCTAGCCGGATACTCACTAACTAATATCAAATACAAGGTATACATGAAAGTGGAACCAAGGGAGAATGTGGGCAGAATCAACTTAAGGACGAATACATATTCCAAGTAAGTACATATAAAATGTACAACATAGCAAGTAGGGATCTTGTGAGGTACATTATAGTCTAACACAATGGGAGTAATAACCAATAAAGGGAACATATGAACATGTGACAAGATAACATATATATAGATAATTGAAGCTAGTTGGCATGATATGGGCAAATTGTATATCCAACATACAAACATATGTACCATGTGTAATCTAGGATCATTTTGATTTATATAAGGGAAATACGTGCCAAGGGTACTTTGACGATGAAACAAGTTTAAACCTTGCATGTTAATACTTGGTAGAGTAAGCACGTACATTTAGTAACAAACTCATATTAGAGTACTCACTTTAATGCTCTAGGGAGTAGGAACTGCACCTATGGATCAATCACTACCAAGGGCACTTAGAAAGTTTACTTTTTGTAATGCAAGTGTTGGATTCATGCCAAAGAAATAGGAAATCGAATAGCCTTACATACCTTGCTATACAATTCAAAAAGTATGACTTAAGCTCCTTCTCTTCAGATTACTAATCTACAATAAAATAAGTTGTAAGACTAGTATTAGTAGCTAATCAATCAATTTGAGCTACTTGATCTCACCAAAATAATAACCACGCAGTAAGCATGCAATTTATCTAGTCAATGTTTTATTTCCTTCCTTTTCCCTTAAATCACGTATATATACTGTACAACCATCGTATCAGGTCCTCCCCAAACCTTCCTGCAATATTTAAGTCCTTTAGCGTCTCCATAACTTACCTGCACATCTAGTCACATCCCTTATCATAACATACATAAAACAATCCTTAAACATAATAATGTAACAGAAGAAATATGAATCATTGTTTCTGATCACCAGCACTTGAAGAGTTAACATTACTTTTAAGGTGCTCAAACAAGCTCATGACTGAAGTTAAAGAGGACTCCCCATCATGGCCATCCCAACATGCACTAATCACCAGAACATCCTCCCCAATATTACACCATGTAAAAGTTACAATTTCCAACTCACTAGCACGTACCAAGTGTCCTAATTAAATCAAGCACAAGAGGGAGAAAATTGCAGTAGCTTACCTTGCTGGACAGAACTATTACTTGCTAAGACTTGGATTCTTCAAGGTAAAGGTTGTCCTCCTTAACTCGTCTTAAATTATATCTTCCTATTGCTTGAAATCCCTAATATTCAAGAACCCTAATGGTATTTAATGGCTGTTGTATGAAGCTAAGAGAGAGAAGAGAAAAGCTCTAGAAATCAGATTTTTGGCAAAGTAAAAATGGTTAGAAAAAGCTGATATCAATCCCTTTTAAAGGGACCTTCTTTGGCTGACTTTCTCACTCATTTTGGGCCATAATTTTTCAAGTAGGTGACCCACATACTTGGGCCTTTTTGGACTTAAGAACATTGGGCCTTTTGCCACCTTTCTTGTACTTCTTTTACAGCCAAACATGTGTCTTTAATTTAGACCACACATTTAAATAGGTGATGCACCTACTTTTCCATTCAAATTATTTCTTGTGGGCTTGGAAAGATTGGGCCTTGGCTGTCCGTTTTCCCCTTATTCTTCTATTCAACTTGGGCCAGATTAATGCACGTAGGTGTAGTGTACTTGGCCCAATAACATGGTGAAAAAAGTCCTAGTAGGTGATGTACCTACTTGGTCCTTTGGGCTGGTCAATAAGTCAAAGTAGGTGATGCACCTACTTGTCATCTACTAGCTTAGTGAAGTCAAGCAAGCACCTTTTATTCCATTTCTAGACCTTAATACCTTTAACTTAACTTTAAACTTATATACACTATGTCACTTTAAACTTTAGATTCAAATACCAACTTATGAGCTCAAGTTTAAATACTTCCATCGACTTCAACTTAATCGGGTCACATTAAAATCTACAGTCAATTCACTTTAAATCTATTCTATTGTCGCTAGTTGCATAGGAAACCAAGTCCATAACTATACCACAAGGTGGTTTTTTAAGCGTAATAAATAGAAGTAGTGCACGTAGAATACGGGGTGTTACACTCAAGTAAAGACACATGCCTCTTCTTGTTATCACTAATCTCATCTTAACAGTATCATCTTTTCTTTCTTTCAGTTAATGGCCATCTACGAGCACAAAGTTGCAGTCCAAGGTTTTGTATGGTGTATCAATTCTTTTGATCAGTGGGGTGTGGAGCTAGGAAAGGTACTTCTAAGAGAATGCCTTAAAATTGAGTAATTGAACATTCTATGATACTAATATAATACTGAGTTACCTTGTTTATTAATGTTCTCTACAATCTTTAGCGACTCAAGTTAGAAAGCAACTTCATGCATCTCGTAAGAAAGGAGAATCAGTTGAAGGCTTTAATTTCAGCACCAAAATGTTGATAACAAGATATCTCGAGGTATGATATGATTACGTTACACCAAAAGTGGAAAAACTTGAGTTCTCAAATCCTGGGTTTGTCTGTGGTTTCCCAGCAAATTACCCAGATTGTTGCATGGAAGTTCTTCTTTCACTTTTGGAAATGCTACTTTAGAAAATGAGATTGACATTTTCAAGCTTATCTGGAAAGGAAAATAAAAATTTAACTTTTTTTATTTTTGAAGTAAAACAGGCAACATTCAGACATGTTAACGTGTTTCAGTTCTTAGGCAGCACAAAACAATTTTCATCCAAAGAATCTTCATATTGAAGTCATTTAATTCCTTCATGGGACGCTGCATTGAACTCCCATTAAAACTTCCTATGGCCTCTTTTGGTTAACTCTTTTATGCTTAAGTTCAATTTTTAAGATATCTTTTTCTAGACATTAATTCCAAGAGTATTATTTCTATGCATTCTAGATTGCTTTCATGGGCATTGACCCCTGATTAAATGTGAGTTTGTAAAGCATAACTCTCTCTATTTCCTTGGCTTCTGGTGTCATGGGGCAAGTGTAAGATTTCCATGTAAGTTGGCAAAGTACAAACATATTGGATAGTGCTTCATAACAAGAAGTCCGCTATTCTTAGGGACCGGACCAAGGATGTTCCTGGAATTATAATGCCACATTGCATATGGGATAGATTTATATCGTATCAGCCAAGAACACTGTTCAAACACGCGATAAATATAATCCCAAATTTTATACTAGGACTAGGACAAAAAGACCCATTAGTGCTTAAGCCTTGACAACCCACCAGGGGGTTCATTGCTTTTTTATGATAGGTAGTTTATTTCACAATTTTGATGTGATATTGAGTTCTTAACACTTGGAGACTATATTGATTGGAGGTTCACTAGAGTTGTTTTGTTTTGTTTTGTTGGCAGGCAAGTGCAGATGTTCCTTCTGATCCTTCTACTCTTCTACCAAATATATGAGAAATGTTAAGAATCAGATTTCATGACCACGGTTTAATGGAGTCCTCAACTTCACTACCAAGCAAAAGAAAGATGTAGTATACCAGTTTGATAAGAAAGACCAAACACAAATACAAAAAATAAAATTATTATGTAAGAACCTACCTAAACTATATTTTCCGGATGAAAACAAAAAACTTACCTATATAGTAGAATCAAAGTTATGGAGGAATCTTAAAATACGAGTATGATGGAGAAAAAATAGAACATCATTGTAGATATTATTCAGGAACATTTACTAATACAAAAATAAAATGGGAAATAAACAGGAAAGAATTATATTCAGTATATAAATGTTTATTATCATTTGAACCATATATCGTATATAACAAATTTATTATAAGGACAGATAACACACAAGTAAAATGGTGGCTAACAAGAAAAATACAAGATTCAGTGACGACAAAAGAAATAAGGAGATTGGTATTAAATATATTAAATTTTACATTCACTATTGAAGTAATAAAAACTGATAAGAATGTTATTGCAGATTACTTATCAAGACAAAGATACTCACACTGAGAAAGAAAATACAATTGAAGATATACTCAAAGCCATTACTACATTTTGTACCAAAGTGGATAGTATGGAAAATGAGATACAAAAACTAAAGTCTAAAGCTAGTACAAGTCAGCAGCATGACTATAAAAATGCGGAGCTACGTCGATCGAAAGACGAAAAAATTCCAGAGATAGAAGGAGACATTGGGAAACTCCCAAAAACCAATAACATTTGTTCAATTACAACTGCAGGTACAAGCAGACAAGTTAGTGAAAGACAACACAAGAATATAAATTTGAACAAGTTATTTGAAAAATCATTTACCCCAAAAATATCAAAAAACCTTTTGATCACAGAACCACAAACCTCTACATATGCAGATAGCCTACATCATGACAAGAAAACATATAAGCATATCACATGTACCTATATAGAGAATATATTTATAATCCAAACTTACCTTAACCTTAACCCAAGATCCACTATAACCAAAGAACCAAACCAAGATTACCTAACCCAAAAATTACAAAGTTATAATAAATTGATTGCATAGCCAAAAACTAATGCAAATTTAGTCAAAACATGTTACAATTATGGATTATTAAATACAGTATATACCTACGATGGAAAAGAAATAAGTGGAATGCCAAAATTACATAAGGCATTTATCACATATAAAAGAGTAACCAAGGGAAACTTATTTTATATAAAATTCTATACAGCACCAGCAGAGATACTATATGAAGAAATAAAACCTCCGATCCAAGTTGTAAAGATAGGTTTGACAAAAGATATGATAATACCAGAAGATATCGGACAACAATCAGAGATACAAAAAATTGAGATACCTAGTTTTTATGCTAAAAAGAGAATAATCGGTATATCAACTATCATCCAGGAGTTAGCTAACAATTATTTAAACGGAAATGCTATATGGAGTTATTATTCTAGAGATCAGTTAATGATTTATTCCAATTCAAGAGAGCTAAGAAAAGCAGATATGGATTAAGTCCAGAGATGGATTTTATCATTACTTAAACCAGAAGAACGACCTACAACACGAGCACTAAAGACATGATTTATTTCAGCAGAGTTATTAACCAGATATTGTAAGTTAATTAGACACAAATATCCAAATCACATATGTTTAAAATGCAATGAAGAAGATAATGTAATCCCCGATGTCCAGCTGGAATGATTAAATGAGATAGAGACGGAAGAAGATAAGAAGAAGAAGACAAAAATAAAAAGACACATGAAGAAAAATGTAAAAAAAAAGTCGTAGATAAAGAGATAAGGAAGAAGACATATGGCCAAAAGAAAAGTAAATAGTCATGAAAAGTACTAAAGTAAATAGTGGAAAGATAAAGTAAAGTCAAAGTTTTTTGACTTATTGTGTAAATTATTGTAAAGTGTAGTAATTGTGTAAATTATTGTAAAGTGTAGTAAGTAGACAAGTGTAAAGTTATAAGTGTAAGAAGTAGACAAGTGTAAGGTGGGAAAGTGTAGTAGGTGGAGTGTATTATTAAGAAGACAAGTGTAAGAAGTAGACAAGTGTAAGGTGGGCAACTGTAGTAGGTGGAGTTTATTATTAAGAAGACAAGTGTAAAAGTAGTGGGGAAGGATGATTAAGTGTGTAGTATAGTACGTGCACTAATTCCTTTCTATATAAAGGAAGGTATATGTAACATAAAGGACATACTGAAATAAACGAAGCACTTTCATAAACACTCTCTTAAATATTTAATACTTAAGCTATTCATATTTAATAGATAATGGAACAAACTTCAGATATCATGGATAAGCAAGAGGCAAAGGTATATTGTTCAAAAAATATGCAGAACTAATTTCATATATTCCTGAATATCATATATATGATTGAATAAATTTATGTTAGTTATTATGTATTAGAATTATTTGAATCATGATTTCTAGTTTATTAGCACACTGGAAACAGGGAGAAAACTTCTATACAATGCCATCCTAATGTTGAAACCGGTAGGCAAGGAAAGCCGTTTAGGGGAGTAAACAAAGTTGAGGTGCTGATAGGAAGGAAGTATCCACTAAAGTACGATGCTAGTAGTGACAGGAGAACATGATAAACAGATAATCTAGTTCATAATGATCTAATATGAATTTAATCAATTATGAATATGATAGGAAGGAATAATTGAACATAAAAAACCTGCATAACAACGAACATGACTACATACATGCATGATAAAATGATAAAAAACTATGAAACTTTAATCTTATATATACTTAAAGATATAAAAATAATTGAATTAAGAATAAAAATATGGGAAAAAATATTTAATAATAACGGATCAGAAGATATATTAAACCAACAATGGTATGAAATAGATCTACATGATTTAGACCTCAAAAAAATAGAATGGTATGATTTAGAAATAAATTCAGACTAAAATGAGCTACGAATATTTACAATATTGGACAGAATCTATGGAAGATATAAAACTATTAGAACAATTAATGGAGGAAAATTTATATATGTACCGAAGAACCCAAGATATGTTATAACTAGAATATATCATAAATAATATTAAAGAGATATCAAGATTGAGACACTTAGCAAAAGAATATTATCATAAAATCTTTAGCCAAACATAAGATGAATTCCTCACCAACCACACTATCCTCACCTACCAAAAATGATACACCTACCAAAAAATGGTATCATTCCTCACCTACTACACTACCAAAAAGTCAAATAAAATTAAATAAAGCAATTCCGCACTGATGGATTCCGCACCACCGAAAAATGGTATATGTATAGTAACACCCAATATCCCACCTTAAACTATCTTTTAAGTATTTTTGCATCGTACCACTTCTTCATCTTTTACTTGTAGAGAGCTCAACTTTCTTAAGCTTTAAACCTGAATTCATCCAATTCGTTTAACTACTCTACTCTCTCTTTTGAGGTTTTTGTGCGGTCCAAATTCAGAGCTTTCAATGCCCACATTGCTTTGTATTCTAACTCGACTGGTAGATGGCAAGACTTCCCAAAAACTAACTGATACAGATACATACTGATTGGAGTTTTGTAAGAGGTGTGATATGCCCATAGTGCGTCATCAAGCTTTCGAAACGAATCAATCCTATTAGCATTCACTGTCTTAGCCAGGATGCTCTTGATTTCTCGGTTTGATACTTCAACTTGACCACTTGTTTGGGGATGATATGGAGTTGCTGCTTTGTGTTTCACCCAATACTTTCTCAATGTAGATGAGAGACATTTGTTGCAAAAATGGGAACCACCATCACTGATAATAGCTCGAGGAGTATCGAATGTAGCAAATATGTAGCGTTTTAGAAATTGGACCACACTTCTCCCTCCATTATTTGTAAGTGCGACAACTTCTACCCATTTAGAAACATAATCTACTGCCACCAAGATATACTTATTACTAAAGGAACTCACAAATGGGCCCATGAAATCGATTCCCCAAACATCTAATAGCTCGACTGCCAAAATAGGAATAAGGGGTAATTCGTGTCTTTTAGATACTCCACCTTGCTTCTGACACTGGGCGTATTTCTTCACAAAATCATGCGGATCTTTGTAGAGGGATGGCCAGTAGTATCCACTTTGGAGGACTTTAGCGGCTGTACGCACACCGCTATGATGGCCCCCAACTGGTGAAGCATGACAAGCATGGAGAATTTCCACCGCCTTTTCTTTTGGACAACACCGTCTGATGATATGATCCGCACACTCGAAACAAGTATGGTTCATACGAAAAGTACATTTTAACGTCAAACATGAACCTCTATTTTTGGTAGAAGTTCAGCTCATCCGACATTAATCTGCACACTATGTAATTGGCGAAATATGTATACCAAGGAGTTTATTTGAGAGTTATTGCAAACATTTGTTCATCGGGGAAGGGATCATCTATGTCAACCTCAGTCACATCATTATTCTTGCCCTCTAACCTGGATAAGTGGTCAGCCACTTGATTTTCCTAACCTCTTCTATCTTTGACCTCAAAGTCAAATTATTGCTATAGGAGCACCCACCTTATCAACCTTGGTTTTGCATCCTTCTTTGCCATTAGGTAACGGAGTGCAGAATAATCAGTGTGAACAATTACTTTAGTGCCTAACAAGTACGCTTGGAATTTCTAAAATGCATAGACTTCCACAAGCAACTTTTGTTCAGTCACGGTATAATTACGATGAGCACTGTTTAGAGTCTTGCTTGCCTAATAAATTGGGTGAAATTTTTTATTGCGTTTCTGCCCCAACACAACACCCAATTCCATTCCACTTGCATCACACATTACTTCGAAAGATTCTGACCAATCAGAACTGAAAATGACTGGGGTCGATACTAATTTTTCCTTTAAGCACCAGAAAGTCATCATACAAGCATCATCAAAATGGAATTTCACCTCTTTATCTAAGAGTTTGCATAAAGGATGTGCAATCTTTGAGAAGTCTTTGATGAACCTCTGGTAGAAACAAGTATGT